GTGGTCGAAGGCAGACTTTCGTACAGAGGGCCGTCAGCGACGCATGAATCATCCTTTGACAGGTTGTAACTAAAAAGAACGAGTGGACACAGTACACCAACCACATCGACGTTGCCGAAGTTTGGGTAGCAAGCCTCGGAATGGTAACCCGTTGTTTCCGGTTGCATAGAAAATGCTTCACACTGTCCTGGCTTCTTGATGTAATCTTGGTTTTGTCATCCATATTGCTAAGCTGTACTGAGAGGTGCTCCAAGCTCCATGCGTGAATTCCGTTTTTTCTTAGTTTTCTTCAATCGAATGACGCTTGGGAACCTGTACCTTGACTTTTCAAATACACCGACCATTTGGTACTTGTCGATTCACATAAGTAGACCCTAGGGTAATTTGGCGCATGTAGATGCAATAAAGTCATTTTAGCATAAACTGTATCAACATTGTTTAAAGGGTAGCTCATAAACCGTAAGAACAATGGTTTCATTTTGGATTTACCCAATAAAACGTGTCTTTGCAGGAGGAGGCTGACCAAAAAATCTTTGTAAAAGGGACACAACCTATGGGCGACGATGAGGATGATCCAAACTTGATCGTTTGTTTGAATAAGCTGCTCGAAATCGCGCATAACAGCGTTTTTGGCAAGTAATTTGTTTTAATTAATGTACCAGCCGCATCTGTAATTAAGCTAATTGCTTTTGGTGTTTTGTCCTGACACGCACGTTTCTGGGCACTTTAGGCGGCTTGACAACAATAATTATGATCAATACGGAACCAAGAAATTGGCTAATTGTTATGAATGATGTAAGTTTGGAACCAACAATGAATCATTCACGAAAGTGGAGTAGAAGAAAGTCTTCGGCATGAGGCTAACTGTCAGGACCCCAATTTCCTAAAAAACAGTTCCAAAAACGGCCTCCTTTCGCTCAACTAGGACCACTTCCCTACGGGCTCAGAGCATTGGCTTGGAAGTGTAACAGTTTGAGAAACTAATTTCAGTTCTCCAAGGAGCTCAAGTCGAACAGGCTAACCACCCCAGTAAAAAATTGTCCGGTACAATAGTGCATCGTTGGTAACCTGCGTGACTGTTTTCCGAGCCTCAAAATAAGTTCCACTGTTATGGTGCACAACAGTAACGAATGTACAAGAGACGAACTGGAACTGGTGTTCGATGGCATGGCTCGGGACGCCAAAAGTTTTCCGTTATATCCGCTGATTCGCCAATCTGTGGTATCTGCTGCTGACCTCCTCCAGTACCTAGTGCTGGAGAAAAAGACTCACTTTGGCGAACACAACAGCTATATTCCGAACAAGGCGAGTGAGTGCGTGAGAGAGCAAACGTTACAACGGCCCCGCGCTATTTAAAGGGGGCTTTCTGACATTGATCCAGGCTGTCTGATAGGCGTTAGTGAACACCCACCAACATCGATCGTGCCTCTGTGAAATGCCTGAACGCAGATCACATTCGGTCGTGCTTCTGTGGCGTGCATGAACACTCATCAGGTTTTGTTGAATTGATTGAATGATTGACTGGCCTGAATGTTTGTCGGAGAGAAGGCGAGTTTTACTCATACAAAACCACAGTGGGTTCAAGTAACCGTGGTCAAAGTTTTTAGAGATTAATCGCTGGGACCGAGGGGAGTAATCAGCTAGAGGCCTCAACAGAAATCCATTCTTCCTCAAGGTACTACCAGCGACATATGACGAGGGGCACGTTGAAGCACCGCAGGTTCAAGTAAGAGCGGAGAACACTTTGACCAGTTTGGTTCGTGGTCGTAACCGAACGGGGTAAGGGGGCTGTTAACCATCCGAAATAACTCTAAGCGAACTGTCTGACTAAAAAAACAAGATGTCTTCTTATCAGAAAATCAGAAAATGGACAGACCTTGGGATTTCACAGCATCTTGACACATGCCTCAATGGCCTTGAGATAAGACAGGAGTCTCTCTCGAGGAATCCGGAGAATGCAACAAAGAAAAACAACTAACTATGGAAGGGGGTATGCGGTTGTGAACCGCGTGCTGCAAGTAATGGGTTTGTTTAGAGCTGACAGGAAAAAACCAGTTGGCAGATTTTGAGGGGACCGCTTTGAAATGGAAGAGCAGCTGATTTGTCGTGCTCAATTTCGGAATGCCGCTTACAAGGACGGCAGGGGAGTTTCAGAGATCATCTTTTTTAAAATCAGCCTAGAATAACCGAGAAACTAACCCCGGTACATTTATGGACATTGGGGAGACGAATTGGAGGGTTGGTTCAGCCCATTTTTTAGTTCTATCGGTGAAGCCGACCAAAATGACGTCAGCAGTGAATAAGATGATTGGTAATGAACGCTCAGATTGCAGAAAATAAATAATGGATTTTCATAGGGAAAACTAGTCACAAGGTTATTGAAAACCCTTTTAAAGCCCACGACTGGTTTTGCCCTTCTTTGGGCTCATCAGGTAGGTGCAGTTTCTTCGTTCCCAGAGCAGTACGTGCTCGGTAGATAGCCATCCCAACCACGTCTCTTCGAATGCTGATGAGACATTTAGAAGCCAAACGGGGAGCTCGGCGATCAGACCAACAAACGCCCAATCAGTTACCAAGGTGTTCATCTTAACTGGTACTTGGCACGAGCTGTCGCGCTCCCCGAAGTCATCGTTAGTAATTCTTACTCTGAAATGGGAGAAAAAAGTCTTGTTCTCATGAAGAAAACTACTCACAGGGCTGCAGAAAACTTTCCGATCTTGTGAGTAGCTTCCTTCATGAAAAGATGCTGCGATATCTCGAATATCCTGCCAACTGAAACCTGAGGCGGCCTGTGTGCAGCACATTCAATTGTAGAGTAGCACAAACGAGAGATTCAGTTGAGTCTCGTGGAAACCAAACTGATTTGCAAACGAGTGTATTTTTCGAAAACGGTGCAATTAGGGTTCAAGTAGAACATAAGGTTGACGGGGAACTCGGGAACTGCGCATACCTGATGAGCCCCAAGAAGGGCGAAACTTGTCGTGGGCTGTCGAAGAGTTTTCAGCAACCTTGTGGATAGTTTCCTTCATGAAAATATACTGCAATATCACGAATATCATGCCAACTGAAACGTGAGGCGGCCTGTGTGCAGCACTTTCGGTCGAAGAGTTTCGGTTGAGTCCCCCGTGAAAACCGAATTTATTTGCAAATTAGTGACGCAGATTTTTTGAAGCGCACGTGTCAGTAGAGAGATGAGTAGATATGCTCCCAAATGGCCTCGTCAATCGTCTCTGGTCGGTGGATATTTATGGGTTAGACTAATCGGATTATGTTCAATTCGACCTTCTTCAAGTAATCGTCGCTACACTGCTCTGCAGAGACTGCCAACAATTCAATCACAACAGCTGTACAGCCTTGTCATTTCGGTCCAGCAAGAAAACAAACCATACTTTCAACAGCCTCCATGGGCAAACAAATGTGATTCCTTAACAACGGAATAGTTTGCCTTTCCGTTTAGGATACTCACACGAGGAGAGTAGGATTTCAGGCTGTTTTTATAAAAAAATTTGTGCTTTCTTTCTGGCATTGTCCTGGACATCGTCAAGCTGGAGTAAATCTTTACAGAAGAGGGACGTTGGTCGACTTGGTTCGTCGCGGAGTCAAGAAGTCGGCGCACTTCCTGAATAGGACAACAGACCGAGAGCTTCCCAAGACCGACGTTTTAGACCCCCTTCTCTTTGTTCCAACAGTAATTTGAGAAATGTGGTCGTCTTGCTTGTACGCTGTCTTCGCGGAACAACAGAGGTCGTAACGAGGGATACGACAGCGAGACGAGGGACGTTGGTCGACTTGGTTCGTCGCTGAGTCAAGAAGTCATCGCACTTCCTGAATAGGACGACAGACCGAGAGCTTCCCACGACCGACGTTTTAGACCTCTTTCTCTTTGTTCCAGCAGTAATTTGAGAAATGTGGTCGTCTTGCTTGTACGCTGTCTTCGCGGAACAACAGAGGTCGTAACGAGGGATACGACAGCGAGTCAGTGGTTCTCAGTGTGAAGGAGGACCAGTAATATTTGTTGACTTTGTCTTGTGTATCGGTCTAAACGCGGGCAAGCTTTCGTTTTTAACCCTGGGAGAGTTGAAGACATTGCGGAAGAGGGCGAGACATTGTCTTGTCTAGAAAACACGGTGTTGTGCTTCACAAAGCTTCAAGCTTTCTGTATCAATTGGCAACACTGACGAAACCAGGACGTGTCAGGAACAAGATGCTAAATGTACGAATGTCACCGCCACAGGACTGATTCCTGGATATTTTAAACGCAGGATTACCAGTGTTTGGGTATTTTCTAACGGTCAACCAAGTGATAAACACCTGTTTACCGGAAACCATCGGTGGAATATGCAACTTGTTCCCTTCCAAGCAGCTAAGAGCAACCCGGCATGCTGCCCCGTTTCACGTCCATAACGCACAAGACCGATGCGTTTGTAAGCGTTTGTGGCCTTGTGATCAACTTTGATGAACCAATGGGACGGAAGCTAAATGACCTTGAAAATGACTCGTGACACGCATACTTTCTGCTAAAAATAAGTGTCTTCGAAACCGGTGTGATAAAAGCATGGAGAATTTCAGAGGTATTTTGGATGTTTTGAGTAGACCGGGAATCTCTTTAGTTACCTAATAAGTTTGAATGACACCATTTGACAGGAATTCCCTAAGGAGACACGCTTGTTTGACGCACGGAAGTTGAAGTTGAGGGAGGAAGTTTCAATCAATAATCGTGATGCCGCCCATATTGTTGAGAGTCACAGTGTATAAATTTTTTAAAAAACTTGCTGGGCGTCCTGCTTCTAAGTGCCTTTCCGTCAAAACAGTAAGCAGTCTTCATGGGGTTGGAACTGAAGTCTGGTAAAGTTTATGAGACTCTGTACACGTCCAGGAAGTTGAGTCGAAAGAGTACTTGTTCGAGCTACCAGAATCAACGCGGGCTCTGTGCATGCGTTCGGTTATCAAAATAACAGTTTACCCCCACTTCGAATCCCTGCACAATAGAAGAAGAGGAACTAAAGCACGCGGTGACATTTCCTAAAAATGATCGTGGAGATAACAACGTGTTCGCATGTCTGGTGTTCGGGACTTCCAGCTTCGGGTTTCAAAGATGACGAGAAAGACTGTACGAATGAGGGAAGAAGAGTTTTCAGCAACCTTATGAGTAGTGCATTACGCCTATACATGTATCGGGATATTTTGGATATCGTACCAGCTGAATTGTGAGGCAGCCAGTGAAGTAAGAGCATCATTAGCAAGAGATTCAGCTGGGTTCCAGATGAGTTCCCCGCCACAACAATGTTGGTGATGGCAAAGAGAATGTTTTATACGACCTCACCAGTGTAATGCACTTAAAAGGCTCGACCACAGAGGTTACTTATGTACGACTGTGGCTGTCCCCTGGGAAGCAAATGGTTTTGATTGAATAGCTTCTACATAAAAGCGAGTCAATAATACCTTTATGAAAAAGGATTTTCTGGTGAGTCCTTCCCAGGGGAATTTCAGCCGAAACGAGTCTATGCTCTCTTCTTTGCGAAGTGTTTCTTTATAGAAAGGACTTTACAATTGAAGCAGGCCCCAAGGGTTCAATAAGACTTTGTGTCTTCTGGAAGACCCCGAAATTCTCAGAACCGGAGACCTGAAGGCTTTGGGTGTCACCGTGTTCACTCACGCTGAAGTTCCATGGGCTTGAACCAACGAGTGTTCCAATGCATTTCTTGAGGCATATTCATTCTCTCAATACGCGTCATTCATTATTAGGTCACGCAGATCGCGTGATTTAGAGCGCGGCAAATAGGCTCTGGTGACAGTGGACCCAGAACGACACAAAACTCGGTGGGGGTATGCATGAAAGACTGCAACTGTGACCTTGACGTATCAATCTCATTAGGTTGAGACTAACCCGGTCAAATCAAAGGTGGACTTAGATAAGCAAGCTGATACTGTTGTATGATTGTCTCACGCAGTTCTAGCGTTACTCAGCGATGTCTGTCGCTTTGCGTACGATTCTTCAGCACCGACGCCATGCAAATATTGGTTTGGCACAGGTCTGGAACAGACGGAAATCGTTGAGGATAACAGAGCGATAAGCATCCATCATGTACTAAACTGAAATGAAAAGTTCCAGCACGTTACTCGTTCGGCTAGGGTGGTAACAGTACAAACATGTTAGCTCGAGAAAGCCAGACAGACCTCTCCTGTTTCTCTGAAATGCTCAAGATCAATAGACGTGGACTATCAACAAGACGGGAAATGATTGAAATGGCTGCAGCGGTGGAAGTTGGAAAAACGCTGGGAGCATGAGAGGTTTATGAACAAAAGAAACTTGGTTATCACTTACAGCTACACAGGAAGAGAAAATGGCACTTCACTGCCGCATAAAAGGAACTGCACGAAGGCGACTACCAGCTACCAGCCATTCAAGCAAAGAGCTCGGCGACTTAGAACGGTGCCAACTCCAGCGGAGCCACCCACAGCCAGTGGCTTCTTAACCACCAGAAGCGTGCAACCGCAGGCAAGAGGAAACCGCTAGGAGAATATCACAAACGAGAGATTCAGCTGGGTTCCAGGTTAGCCCCTCGCATAACCAAATCAGTTTGCAAATGAGTGTATATTCGCTAATTTCGTGCAATTTGGTTTCAAGTAGAACATAAGGTTGACGGAAACCCGGGGACTGCGCCTACCTGATGAGCCCGAAGTGGAAGGGCGAAACCGGTCGTGGGCTGTCGACGGATTTTCATCAACCTTATGAGTAGTACATTACAAAGATACACATGTATCGCGATATATCGAATATCGTAGCGACTGAAACATGAGGCAACTTGGTGCAGCACATTCAGTTGCCTGAGAACATCACAAACGAGAGATTCATCTGGGTTCCAGGTGGGTCTCTCGAAAAACCAAAGTAATTTGCAAATGAGTGTATATTCGCTAGGACGGTCATTTCAACAACCGTATTCGAGTCTCGAATCCTGGTTTAACAGAAACCTACCATGAATCAGACGAGCATGAAAAGAATGTGAGTGAATCTCGAAAAGCTGCCAAGTTCACCATCGCAGTGAATGGCATCAATTTGGTCTCGGATCTGTTGGATAAGTGCACAAACTAGGGGAAGATCAAATTTGTCAAAAAACTGTCCGACGGACCTATAACCTAATGTTTTAGGTCTAATAAATCGATGGGTTCAATGTTATTGTTACTTATATCACAAATGTAGGATGATCTTATAATGAGAGTAAAGTGTGCACAAATTGAGTTGTCCGTTGTCCTCGTGTTCTTCATTAGAGCTGTTCTCAACGTGTGACCTTTTATGGAAAGAGGGGGATCTCTCTGCTTATTGATAAAAAAATCCGACTAGATGGGCAGATCAACATAAAAATGGTCAGGACGTACGAACCAATGGATCCGTTCCGAATGACAACGGCAGAGAGTCGATATAAGTAGTCTCCTGAGCAGCTGCAGCGCGAAATCTATCGGTCTGTTCGAACCCAAAACATCATACGAAACGATCTGGCTTCCATAAATACTACTTAGTCGATCCGCACTACAATTTTGCAATGTCTCCATACGCTTCATGTGGATCGGAAAATAGTTGGACTGTGTAAAAGTTCAAAAATTCAGTTAAGTCTGTATCATGCTGGTTCGGAGCGATCGATGTTCAGTTAAGTCAATCTGTATCATGCTGGTTCGGAGCGATCGATGTGCGACATGTCTTGGTACTCTTGTTTGTGATACTGGCCAATATTGGTAACAGAGTATCCACAGTGTGATGACGCGTACAGACACAAGTTTGTACTCAAATGTTCCTCTATCGTGAAGAACCTGACCACAGATGTGATATTCACCTTCAGCGTAAAATGCTCTTGGTGGGAGGTTCGAATGCGACTACTGACACCTAACCTGGATCCAAAAAAATCCATCGAGTGACTACAGATGGTAACATTCCTTCTACTCCCGTGGGCCATACATGTTACTTGTAAAGGGGGTCGTTAGCAAATAGTTTAGACACAAGGACAATTAGAAATTAGGGATGGTATCACGTGATCAGGATTACGGCAGACAGATTCGTTGCTTCCAATTTCTGAGGAATATTGATCAGCATAGTTTTACTAGAAAAAGCAAAACACCTGGAAGACCCCGGTTCCGTTGGGTGGTCGGCTTGCAGCAACGCAGTTTTGAAGATGACGCGTCTTTCGAAAGGCGTATGTGGACTCCCCGATGAACTATGATCATTTCTGTCAGGAGGTGGGATGCACAATCGTTACCTTTGAAAAATCTTTCACATGTGAGCCGCATAGCATATCTTTCATCCGGTGGCTGAAAAACTTAGGGGATTTCTTAACGATATTTTCTGTCCACTGGTATAAACACCGTATTCATCCAGTATTTAAGCCTCTCCGTTATCGTCAACCTGACTGCTTGGTAAACAAAATCTCAACTGTTCTAAACAACACATTTTCAATAAGCACATTTCCCGATAAACTTTAACTTGAACGCAACCGAACGGTGGTCGGCTCAACGCAGTTTTGAAGATGACGCGTCTTTCGAAAGGCGTATGTGGACTCCCCGATGAACTATGATCATTTCTGTCAGGAGGTGGGATGCACAATCGTTACCTTTGAAAAATCTTTCACATGTGAGCCGCATAGCATATCTTTCATCCGGTGGCTGAAAAACTTAGGGGATTTCTTAACGATATTTTCTGTCCACTGGTATAAACACCGTATTCATCCAGTATTTAAGCCTCTCCGTTATCGTCAACCTGACTGCTTGGTAAACAAAATCTCAACTGTTCTAAACAACACATTTTCAATAAGCACATTTCCCGATAAACTTTAACTTGAACGCAACCGAACGAAACAAAAGACAGCCGCTATCTATCCGAAAGATTCGCTTACAACGACTCGATCGTGTTTCTGTCATTCAGCTGCCGAAACAAAGACAGATTTACAAAAGTTCATCAGGCTTATTTGTCACGTTGACATGTGTTGGCGCCATCGCGCGTGTAATAGCGCCATCGCGGCGAACTATAAGACGATGGTGCTAATTGCTTTTCGTCCCCGACGTGAGAAGTGTGAATTTTTACACCGTTTGGGAAAGTGTGTGTGTGTGTGTGTAAAGAATCTGGTTGCGACAGATGGGAGCGGACAAAAATCCGTGTCGATTTTCGCAGTTGTCTGGATTCACTAGCCTGTAAATATGATTTGTGAATTGTTACCTGAGTGGTGAAAACAACTGTTTAGTTTTTTTTGAGGGGGACGCTTCCCAGAGACCTTCCTCTCATGGATATGTGGGAGAAACGTTTTTTATCCATAGGCTACAATTGTTACAAATACTCAATCCCAAAGGTTGTCTGTCTCGTCTAAAGAAGTGCCTCCCTTCAACAGAAGCTACTCCACCAGGGAGGTTACATTGAGTTTTCTTTACCAGCTGCGTGAAATTCCTACTAAAGAGAAACCGATCGATGGGTTAGGAAGCCCATTCATTCATAAGGTCTTCCATTTCTTAGGATTTTTCCATTTTTTAGGTGAAATTTAGTCTCATTTGTCATATTTCCTGTTGGATGCAACCTTGGATTAAACTTGATCAGGGTATTTAAACCACTTCTCCTTAAATATCTTCGTCATATGTATACATTTGTAATGTACTACTCATAAGGTCACTGAAAATCTGTCGACAGCCCACGACCGGTTTCGCCCTTCCACTTCGGGTTCATCAGGTAGGCGCAGTCCCCCGGGTTTCCGTCAACCTTATGTTCTACTTGAAACCAAATTGCACGAAATTAGCGAATATACACTCATTTGCACACTAATGTGGTTTTTTCGTGGGACTCACCTGGAAGCTAGCTGAATCCCTCGTTTGTGATGTTTTCAGGCACATGTTTTGGTGTGATTCATACTCAATGAGTCAGTCGTCGTGGCAGCGACCGTTGTTTCCGTATACCGACCGCATTCTGAAACGAACGGTTGACACTGATCTTTCACGCCTCAGGTAAGACTAACCCATTGGGAGAAGTCAGGGAACACTGCATTATAGCTGCCTCCAGCTTCATGGGAATTGTGATAGTAACTCGCACTTTGGGAGGGATCTAGCGTCCTCTAACAGCGCAGTCTACCACACATGACCCAGGTGGCTAAGGTTCTCTGCAGAGAGGAGGGAAAACCCCGCAAATATTCCGTGAATGTTCCCTCCGAGTAGTCACCAGCTGAGCCGCAGAACATCACGTACACACATAAAATGTTTTCTCTTTACGTCGATTCTATTTATAAGTATAAAAACTGTCTGGGTTATTTATGTTAAATCGAGTGTGAAACAGGTTAGAAAGACATTAGGGCTATACCATGCGAATTTGCGAATGCCACTAAATCTAGCTGAGAGCTCGCGACCACACCGAAACGGTAATATGCAGGAGGGGGCGAGATAGCTCAAGTAATCAGAGTGCGAATTTACTGACCGGAAGATCCGTGTCTCTCGACTTCCCTTGTCTAGGCTCGGGCAACCTGGCAGTATCCCAGCACTCGTGCTTCCTTCGGGTGGTATGGTAGCTAGGCACCGAAAAGATGTTACAGCTGAACGAATATGCAGGAAGTGAACATAATTTATTTCCACCCCCCAACAGTATTCGCGGGCTGAAAATAGTGCATGGGACTGTAGCAAGACGTGGCAACCCTGACAGCTGATAACTTTGCCCATTGGATCATTCAAGATCAAGCTGAAGTACCGTAGCAGTGGGAATGCAGCGAATCGAAATGTGTTTGTAGATCGCCGGCTACCAGTTAACGATGGTAAGGGAGCGATAAATGGGACAATCAAAGTATGCGCAACCAATTAGGAATTAAGTTTGGTGACAGCTACTGCACCCAGAAACAGAAACTGCATATTCTGTCTCAGTGGATGAAGACATCGTAAATAGACACAGAATGTCATAAGAAGCGGACGGTCGAATTTCGTTCGATCGCACACACACACACACACACAGACAAATGTCACATTCTTGGTGGACATACCTCAGCCTCAGAAGTGTGTCACTGGCAGCAATCCGAGAGATTCAGCTAGGTTCGAGGTGAGTCTATAATCAAAACCAAACTGGTGTGTGAATGAGTGTATTTCGCTGATTTCGTGCAATATGGGTTCAAGCAGAGCATCAGGTTGGCGAAAACTCAGGAAGGGCGCCTACCTGACGAACTCCAAGAAGTGCGATGCCTGCCGTGTGCTGCCGAAGAATTTTCAGCAACCTTATGAGTAGTGTATTACGTCTTAACGTTTGAGTCTTCTTTAGAGCACATATGGCATTAGAAATGAGCAGTCAAAGCAATTGTTCTAACACTGCCCAACTGGCAGAAATAAGTTTCGAAGCTGATTGTGAAAATACTACATACATCTTTAGATAGTTTGTGCATTTCTGAATCGTTTGAGGGCGTTCGTAATGGCCCGACCTCAGTATTATTCATTTATATGCTCACCTGGGTAATATTCTAAGAAAACTCGTGGTCTCGCAAATAATGCAATTAGAAAAAGAAGCGAACGCGCAGTATTCCTGAAAGACATTACAGAGAACGCGCAGTGAGTGTATTCCAAAGGGAGTGTTTCAGAGCCAATATCGTTCTAGTGGCTGACACCGTGCTTGTACCGGCTTACATCCTGGTACCCTAGCTGAGCTAGAAGGAAGGTCGTCGCAGAGAAAGAGGTTACCTGACCCCCATTGAGGTTTACGTAGCTTCACAATGAATGTCACACGAAACCGTGGTTGATGAGGATCGTCATTATAGACTCTTGACACCCACTATCCACCCCGGTTCCTCCATTTAGTTTGAAATGTTTCACGTCCCGTGAGCGAGCTAATCTTCGTGCGTCCATCAATGAATTCTAGTCAAATTTCCGCCGCGTCATCATCATCATCATCGACAGCATGACATCAGTGTTCAATACCGATGCTTCACTGCCGTACAACCATGACTTATTTGAAAGCCTTATTGTAAAGAAAAGAATAAAGGTGGATGGGGGAGGGACTTAGTGCTAGCTTAACACAATCATTCCGAGGTGCCTACACCTCCAGACATTCACTCAGACAATCTGAATAGAAACTGACAACAAGAACGCCACTGACATCGGTTGGCAGCCATATATTGTAGTGTCTCCAACCAGGCACAGTGAGGATCACGCGGTCCCCATCCTGGAAGGCGAGTAGCACCGACAACACCCAAGCGTTTCGTGATCTCCCTCATACTCCTCTGCCAAGTCAAGGGTTGGCCACCTCTCTGTTTCCGCCCCGTACAATTTACAGTAATCACGCGGCGTACCTACATTTCGAAATTACTGCAAAGAATTCTCCAACTTTGCTTGTCATTCCCTACGGAATCCCAACTTCCGGCAAACCTTTCCTCTAAAGCCGCACTTTTTTTCCGGTTACCAGATAATTTGGTGTTTTATGATATGGCAAGATGAGGAACTGTTGTGCACAAGGTAACACGGAAGAGCGAAAACATCTATCAATTTGCTGTGCAAGGCATCCCGAGTGAATTCGGTTACCTCGGTGAATGTCACATAATTCAATTACAGTGAATGATGAATTGAGGTTGAATTGAATCAGCAAAACCTTTTTTAGGGAAAAGCGAGTGAGGTTCAATTTCACGTGCACAATAGCATGCAGCGGAGGGAAACGTTGGTTTGAATGCTCCTCAATCAGCAAAATTCGATGAAAAAATTGTATTGAGTTCTAATTCGTCAGAAAAAAGGTGCCTGATGAAATGTGTACCTAGGGGATGTTATATCCGCTGATTCAACAATCTGTTATATATGACTGCTGACCCGCTGCTCCAATGCCTAATGCCGAAAAAAAGATTCAGAGGGGAACACAACAGCTATATTCCGAACAAGCGAGTATGAGAGCGTGAGTCGTGCGAGTGCGAAAGTACAACGGTCTCAAGCTATTTATTGGAGGGACACTGACTGAACTTGGTCCAATGGTGACGCACGCGTCTGGCTTTGGTACGAGGCTCTGACGTGCTGCATGTTGCGGGGGCGTTGTCTGACCTTGATCAACGCTGACTCGCGCTGTTTGGGACGCGCTACAAATTGAGGGGGCGTTGTCTGTCTGGTCAACATCTAGGCGCAACGGAGCTGAGAGTCTCGGTAGATTTCTGGCATTCGCTGGTTGCTCTCAGGAAGCTGACCTTCCCGATAGGGGACTTCGGCTGATTCAGATCGAGTCTGGACGGGTCAGAGATAAACTAAAACAGCTTCCGCTTCAGAGCTTCAAAAAAAGTTGTTTTGACCTACAAATGTGAAGACTTATCAAAATGCAATTCATTTCTACCCGAGGCTTTCGTTTACAAGACACCTGATGGCGATAGAACAAAGACATGACCGAGTGCTCGAATTTCATGTCCAACCTTTCCATGGTGTTCCATTACAGAAAAAACCTATCTATCAGTGAAAGGAAGAAGGCCTCCGCCGCGGAGCATTTATTAGGAAATGCCAGTTACAGACCACTGAACAGGGAAGCAAAACTCTAATCGGCATCTTAGTTACAAAAACTGGACACTGATCTTCTCCCGAACGAGTCCTCTTGAACTTTCCCGGAGATTCATTGACTCCACTCATTCGTCAGTCAAATCCAAGCAAATGTTACAAAGTGGCTCCACGAATTCCGCAACAGATCTCCCTTTTTCAATAGACGCAAAGCGAAATTCTACGAACAACACATACTACTCACCTGCCTCCCCATCAGTAGTATCACCGTTACACCAGTCTTTCGGGAGACTCGTTCGTGTAACTCATCTTTTCTACACCGTTTTTGGAGAGAATCATTGGAGACAGCCCAAGCAACTGTACCTTTCTTACAAATACCAAACACAGTTAACCTGATTACCAGAGTTGTCAAAATTGTCGATAGAGACCCGGCACTGGTTGTATAGAACACCCCCAAAACAGATGTACTTCATTCTGGAATCGTTTTCTTACGGTTAATTTTCCAACGTGAGCAATGTTCCTCAAGTTGATTACAGGGTCTTGACTACCTGTGATTTACACAGCGTTGCAAAGCTTTAGGACTGGTCGTCTTTTAATTTGAGAAAGATATCCTGACATTAGTTAAACAGATTGATGACCGGCATTCTCTGTCATTCCGAAAACAACGGTCGCTCTCACGATTATCCGACTTTACGATAGAAACCGCGCCCGAAAACTGACCTGTTGAGCTATGTGCGATGAAAGCCCCGTTCACTTTTGTGCGTCTCGGTGAGAACGGTTAATCTACATTCCGTGCAAAAATTCCTGAGTTGAAAACATCAGCTTGTCCGTTTGACAGCTGCGCATGAATTATGATAGCTTGTGATGAACTCAAAGATATAGCTGCCACTACAAGTCCAGGACAGTTCCATCTCATCTGATAAACATCTTCAACGAACAGAGAGAGAGAGAGAGAGAGGATAAGGCCTGCGAGCATTCTAACTATCCCGAAAATGTAACATTTGTGCTCCGGAGTGAAAATAGACAATCATTATTTTATACCAGCCTGAAATAATTGCTAAAACGTGTTTCGACAAACATTAAAAATTGTTCGTCTGGACACTGTTTTGCTTTTATCTCTGTTGTCTGCTCAAGTGTCAAGTCTATTTTATCTTGTTGTCAGGTTTGATAAACTGTAGCCTAACCAAACAGTGCGGAGCCTTTGGTCCCATAGGAAGACATCCCGCTTTGCCATGGAAAATTGTGCGTGAACCTACTGGTGTAACAGTGGATACTACTGATGAGGCATGCGAGTGGTATGTTTTCTCTTAAATCCGCTTCGCGTCTCTTGAAAAGTGAGATCTGTAACTGTTCAGTTGGTGTTTCTCTAATAAACGACTCTGCGGGGAAGGCCTTCTTCCTTTCACTGGTAGAGGACAGTGATGAACGGAACTTCCTGAAAGTTATCACTAGTTGGGAAACACTCGAGTGTGCTTCCGGGATTTCGACCCCCGTGTTGGGGAGACTGACTGAAATACTCCTGAGGTCTGTGAAATTTCACCTAGAATTTCTCAATTTATTAAGATCCAGCAGGTACCTGGAATTTAACGATAAATTATTATGGATATTAATCAGCCTATCACATTGCGCAACAAAGATACTTCTTGATCACGTGAAGTTCCAAATGGAAAGCGTGCTTTCAACACAATCAGAGCAAGATAGGTTTCCGGTCATTTGGTATGCAATCGATGTGGATACCCGGGTTAAGAATGCAACAACCTCAGGCCAAGGATGTAAACCGGGTCATACAGAGTGGTTCACCTCATCGTCTAACGTGAGTTCTCAGGGGTAAGGTAATGTCTAGGCAGTGGTTCCTGAATTCTTCATTTCAAAGCCTTTTTGAATCTGTATCTAGGGGACCGTAGTCCCGGAGGGTCCATAACGGAAACGCAGCTTGTGCTTTCTCTGAAAACAGACCGTGCATGGTGAGGTGTCAGACAGAAAATTGCCGTTCCAGTCAGATAAGTACCAGAATGTTAGGATACTGCGGTGCATGATACTGTAGAGCCTGCGGTGTCTAAACTCCGAGCGTAACGTCTGTGATTGGGCATTTGGATAAACTGACCAACTATAGTAAATATGTCGTCCTAGGTTTGTCGTTGTAGGGAAGGTCATATTCCTGAAAGTAACCCCAGAACACTTGAAACTTACCGAGACTCTTGAACTCAACCGAAAGCTCAATAGAAAATCCTTCAGGCATCCAGGCTAATCAATCATTCAGTCAATTCATCAAAGGCTGATGAATGTTCAGGCACGCCACAGAAGCACAACCGAATGTGATCAGCGTTCAGGCATTTCATACAGAGACGATCGATGTTGATGGGTGCTCACTAAATGTCTATCATACAGTCTGGATCAGAAAGCGCCCTTCAACTATCTCGGGGCCGTTGTAACTTTTGTATTCGCACGCACTCGATTGTTTGGAATAAAGCTGTTGTGTACTTTGTCGGTGAGTTCTTTCTGGCACCAGGTACTGGAGTAGGAACAGCAGTCCGATATGACAATCGTACTACACACAGTTTTGTTTCTACAGTCACTGCAATGATGCAATTGAAGCATCGGCCCCGGCGAACAGAACCAGGGTATGTGTCTACAAAACTGAATTCAACGACCGCACTTAGGTTTATATAAGATAGACGGCCAGAAAACTTCGTAATGAGCACAGAAGAAAAATAAACAGTCCAGCGAAAAACGCAGATGAATGTCAAGGTTTACTGAGAAACTCAGCGATGGAGGAACATACTCTGGACACGGGCCACAAAACAGATTTAGACAATGTTGAGGTTTTTAGCGGGAATTACAGTCCACAGAGACTGATGGCGGTGGAAAAATCAACAAGGAACGCAGTGTACATAGAATAGAAGGTGTAGAACTGGAAATCGTATGGAAAGCGGTTTTCAGAAAGAGGAGTCATCAAGGGAAGTAACATAGATCTGCAGTTGATGTACCAAACCGACAAAAATTTCCACCTACTCTCAAACCCTTTTCATAACTAGGTTTTCATAGCACACAAACCAACAAAATTTATCAGTGGCACCCAAGGTGGATCGATAAACAGAGCACCTTGAGCCAGAGGATAAAAGACCGAAACGGGATAAAAAATGATATGAAATCCCCACAATACATCAACCGTAAGATTTAGGCGGCCACACTAACGGGCATGACATTTTACCTGACATTCAACGCTGATCTGAGGAGGTCTACGTCTGCCCTAAAGCTTGACCAATTTTGGTAACCTACTCACTTGGCTGGACCGAACTTTCATGTCGAAAGCAAAACGTCGCAAAGTTACGAAACTATCGATCGTTTACCAAGCATTTTTCGGTCTTCCACAACCCTCAATCCAACATTTTGTTGGCGATAATTGATCAGGAGAAATATTCACCGAGGACTTATTCCATTGCTGATACTCTGAGGAAAGCAGTTCCAGGGTGTTTTACATGAATAAATTTATTTTATAATAAAAAAATAAATATCACACGCAGTTTGGTACTGTTAGGCTGCTTTTAAGCGGAACACACCGAAGCATGTCACTACGAAAAGTGTTCGTGGGCTTTCGTCTTACATTATTCTTCCATCTGAGCTTATTTTGCACCGAGACAACTGAAAAATTGACATTTTAAATTTCGTTGCAAGTAGAAAAAACTGTATTTATCGATAAACCTGGCTCCACGAGATTTCAGCATCTCCGCTGCTGAGTCGCTTCAATCAAGATTGAACCAAATTACAGATTATTTTTCGATGTCAAATACTTTCCATCCCTGTTCCGGCACTTCCAAATTCCCCTTCGTGGGCACTGGTTCACGAAATCATACACAACCATGGTCCCATTATCGATGATGAACAATATTCTATGCAAAATACACTCATTTGCGAACAAATTTGGTCTTGAGAGAGATTCACCTGGAACCTAGCATTATCGAAACCTATCCAACGTGGGTTCAAGTAAAACATAAGGTTGACGAATACTCGGGGACTGCACTTACCTGATAAGCCCGAGGAAGAATGAAACTGGTCGTGAGCTGTCGCAGAATTTTCAGCAACCTCATGAGTAGTGTATTGGGTCTGTAAATTATTTTAAGCACTTTCCCTGCAGCTTAGTCAGCGGTATCATCATAACGAACCGGATTTAATGACAGATCGTTTTGTAAACTCGAAGACGAAAACTACCGTAAGCTTATTCTTTATGGAACCGAAACCTTTTCCTGTCCTCTGTTTCTGTGTGTAGAGACTTAGTCAAGTACATCCATTCTGCTCAGTTGCAGAAACTAAGTGAACACCATCCAACAAAATTCATCACCTCTGATATACTGTCAAAACAAACCTTGAAGAATCATACATCGATAGAAGAACTGTACCGGCATATTGGTAGTTCGGGCGCGTTCATCAGTATTTGATGAGCTAGCCGTTGATCTGTTCACCGAGCTCCGCATTCCGCTTGCAGATGAGCGAGTAATGAGGATGTCACCTTGACTGGTGACAAAACGGTTACAAGCTAATCGCTATGCTCAGTAAACAGATCAATGGCCACCTGACAAACCACCAATGACTGGACAAATTGAATGTTCAACGCCGACTTATTCTCCTTCATCCACACTGCCACTCTCTTCGGCCAAAATCTTCCGGTTGGTTCTGATCGTCCTATCAGCGTGACCGAATTCCTCGGATCCAAAGGGCTGGAGTTGTCGATTCTGTGTATGCCGGCCGAAATAATCGGTAGGAATATCTGTCCGAATTTTACCTTACATTCATCGGCTTCCAGTTTTGTAGCTGGGTTCTCCTGGAACATGCTATGTGCAATCCAATTATTTCTGTCTTCCTGGTGCGTGTGGGTTGAGGTCCTGGTGACATTGGAGATTCAGACATCACCAAGGAACGATTGCAAGTCCCATCTCTGTGCTCCAGTACATGTCAGTGGGGAGTGTACGTCGCGGGTTTGTCGGAATTGTATGGACTTCTTATTCTGTAAGTTTGGTCTTTTCATCCACTACCTCCGGTCAGAATTTGGCACAAAGTTTGGATATTACTCTTGAACAACGTCTGGTTATCTGTAGATGACCGAGGGCTTCTGAACTGAACAATGAAACGAGCCCGCACCTAATCGAACGGATTTTTCATAGGTGCAGGGGACGAATAAAGATACCGTAACCTACTAACTGTGCGACCTTGAAGCATCCGCACTGTTCACTTTGCCTTTCGCACCATGCCGTTTGGGCCAAATGCAGATGTCGTGGGAAAGACTGGCGCTTGTGTTCCTGCTTCGCAGATGACGGTCCAATCATTTTTGGTCGGTCAGGTCACTTACTGCGTGTCCACAACCAGTTTGCCGAGCGAGCGAAATCATTGCGTTGACACTGGTGTATGGGCTGACACTGGGTCCCTCCCATTTCTTGTCTGTTCACTTTTTTCACAATAGAGCTTCCCATTGAGGTTGTGTGGGGAAAAAAATAGGCACCGCGTTTAGTATTGATGCCAGGACAGTCTGCAAAGCCAGCATCCTTCGTCGATCAATAAGCCCTCATCAATAAGCGTCCCTCGACCGTCCAATGGAACTGTTCTTACATATGAACTGAGCATATTTGGGATAGTGACTTGGTTTACAGATAGTGAAGGCATGTAGGATGCAATGAGGGCGATTTGGAGAAGCTAAGCGGAACTGCACTTCCATGAATCCACTATGGTGAATGTCAGTATAACTGTGCAGATGATTCACCCACAACCCATGGGATCATTCCAGCAGCAGTTTAGATAACTGCACAAAGGAATTGTCAGCACAACCTTCAGCGAAAAACCATGCTTTACGCTGTATTCCCACTCTGCTTCGATGTGACCTTAAATGGTCTGGTACATTTAGGGGAATGACGCGAAAAGTCTTCGCAATCTAGGTTGGATCAATCGGTTGGAGCATATGAAAATATACTGCGATATCTCGAATATCATGCCAAATTAAACATGAGGCGGCCTGTGTGCTGCACATTCAGTTGTAGAATATCATAGACGAGAGATTCAGTTGAGTCTCTCGTGAAAACCAAATGGACTAGTATGTTTTAAGGCCCCTTATGTTGAAAGAACAATTTACCCGATTTCGCGTAGTCAAGAGTAGCAAAGATGAAGTAAAGTACGAATCTTTCTGAGAAAGTGAGGCCTCTTTTCCGGTGAACACTGAACGTCAGTTAACCTGGTTTGTGATTATGTAACAGTGGGGCACATAACAAAAGACGAACCTTGGTACGCTGTCTAGAAACGAAATATCTTGCACGAGCAGTGACTCACCCATTACCGAGAGAGAGAGAGAGGGCGAGAAATATGAGTCCTCAAGAACAATTAACATTTGAGGTTGTTTGTCCGGGGGGATGTAATATGCTGCGACGACAAATGACAGACAAAGCACACATATCCTCGAGGGAAATCTAGCAATATCCCATGTCTATGAGAGAGTGTGTCTACCTCTGCTCTTCCACCTAGGTGACTTGATATCATACAGACTGAGTCCGTTGAGAATTCTCGCACTGGTGTCTGAGAAATTGCTTATATCACCCAGGTTTGTTTGCAAAGAGATCACTTGTTCCCATTGTGATTTTGTGCTGAAATTCAAGTCAGTCTATATAGTGAACTGCTTTGCAGTATTGCCGTTCTGAGTGTGGCGCTAGTTGGCCATATCCTTTGGGGTAGTAGCCTCGTGGACGGGCCCGGCCGAGTAGAAGTATCCCCAATGGTGAGAGAGTTTTAGGAGCGTGGAACTTGTTTCAGTTGACTGGAAAAGTACGGTCTGTGATCGCAGCAGGCTGCGTTCTATGTGCTTTGTGACAGACTGCGGCATCTATTGGACAACATGATGAGGGTGCAAGCTTTGACGAAGCAGTTGAGCAATTCTGGCCACAAAGCGTTTGAGTGTAAATGTGCTTGTGCGTGTAAGTGTCATCATCATCATCATCATCATCATCATCGTCATCATCATCATCATAATCATCGTCGTCATCATCATCATCGTCATCATCATCATCATAATCATCGTCGTCATCATCATCATCGTCATCATCATCATCATAATCATCGTCGTCATCATCATCATCGTCATCATCATCATCATAATCATCGTCGTCATCATCATCATCGTCATCATCATCATCATAATCATCGTCGTCATCATCATCATCGTCATCATCATCATCATAATCATCGTCGTCATCATCATCATCGTCATCATCATCATCATCATC